CTATGTCTATGAGTCTGTTTCTGTTTTGTATTTATTTTATTTTATTTTTTAGATTCCACATATGAGCAATCTCATATGGTATTTTTCTTTCTCTTTCTAGCTTACTTCACTTAGAACGACATTCTCCAGGGACATCCATGTTGCTGCAAATGGCATTATGTTGTCGTTTTTATGGCTGAATAGTATTCCATTGTATAAATATACCACATCTTCTTTATCCACTCATCTGTCGATAGACATTTATGCTGTTTCCATGTCTTGGCTATTGTAAATAGTGCTGCTATCAACACTGGGGTGCAGGTGTGTTTTTGAAGTAGGGTTCCTTCTGGATATATACCCAGGAGCAGGATTCCTGGGTCATACGGTAAGTCTATTCCTAGTCCTTTGAGGAATCTCCATAGTGTTTTCCACAGTGGCTGCACCAAACTGCATTCCCACCAGCAGTGTAGGAAGGTTCCCTTTTCTCCACAGCCTCTCCAGCATTTATCGTTTGTGGACTTTTGAACGATGGCCCTTCTGACTTGTGTGAGGTGATACCTCATTGTAGTTTTGATTTGCATTTCTCTGATAATTAGTGATATTGAGTATTTTTTTCATGTGCCTATTGATGATTTGTATGTCTCCATTGGAGAATTGCTTGTTTAGGTCTTCTGCCCATTTTTGGATTGGGATGTTTGTTTTTTTCTTATTAAGTCGTATGAGCTGCTTATATATTCTGGAGATCAAGCCTTTGTCAGTTTCGTTTGTGAAAATTTCCCCCCATTCTGTAGGCTGTCGTTTTGTTTTACTTAGGGTTTCCTTTGCTGTGCAGAAGCTTGTAAGTTTAATTAGGTCCCATTTGTTTATTCTTGTTTTTATTTCTATTGCTTGGGTAGACTGCCCTAGGAGAACATTTCTGAGATGTATGTCAGATAATGTTTTGCCTGTATTTTCTTCCAGGAGGTTTATTGTGTCTTCTCTTATGTTTAAGTCTTTGATCCATTTTGAGTTTATTTTTGTGTATGATATAAGGGGATGTTCTAGCTTCACTGATATACATGCTGCTGTCCAGTTTTCCCAACACCATTTGCTGAAGAGACTGTCTTTAATCCATTGTATATTCTTGCCTCCTCTGTCGAAGATTAGTTGACCAATGAAAAATAATTCTTAAAAAATTACTGGGTCTTTGGGAATTGCACATAACATACTTCACGCACCTGAGCCCTTTCCCTCATTTATACACGGCAAGTTCCAAAATTTTATTTTCCTATATACTGACTTTAAAAAATTTCACATTTTCTCTCATATTACTTCTTCTCATGATTGCTGCTGAGGACTAAAAAGAACCTTAAAAGTTTTAGGAAACGGAAGTATCTGCACAGCACTTTAAAACATTTTAAATGTTGCAGGTTTCTATTCTATGCATTGAACCAGCTGAAAGAGACTGATCTAGAAGAAACAAATGGCTTGGGCCACCTCTCTCCCTTGGTTAATTTTCACTCTGTGTAATCATGTAATCAAATGATTACTAACTGGGCATGAAAGTAAAGACAATTTAAGGTTCAAATGACAATTACATCCAAGAGGCATAATGCTGCACAAACACCTTCAATTCCCTGTAGAGTTTCTGAGTATTCGTAACAACCTTAACACAAGTCACTGAGCTTACAAAATAATAATGTAAAAAAAGTCTGCAAACCAGAAAAAAATAAGTGATTTAAAGACTACCTTTTAGCAACCATTTATCTACCTAGGTTATTTACATGCTTGATATTTCCCAGTGCTCTCACTTTTGCACAAGTTTTAGCTGAAAACGCTTTTAGATTGCATCCCTGCCTTAGTCCCTTCCAAAAGCAGAGAAGAAAATTGGTATGACTCCAAAGTAGGCTAAGGGGATTCAGAGTCACAGAGATTAAGAGACTTTGCTTGGGGTCGCAGAGTTCAGGGTCTTTTGTAAGCCACACAGAAGGAAGTAACTTTGGAGAAGGTCAGAGGCTGGCCTTCTACCCTTCTGGTTCTGCTCTCCACTTTAATAATGGGAAAGAAGACATGGAGAGATGCAGATGTGGGAGGCAGGAATGAGGAGAGGCTCTTGGTAGCACAGATAATCAATCCATGTAACACTCTTCCGGTTTGGTCTCTTTCATCTTTCCTCCTCACTTTTGACGTTACTCCTCACTTACACACCTATCCTCTAGGACCCTCTGCCAGGACCTCATTCCACCTTTCTGGGCACTCGTTCAGTGGTTTTTTGCCCATTCAGCTTCCCTGCTCCTTCCTTAACCAAGTACTTTTGTCACATTTAATAATCAGTCCTCAACCATTTCCTACAAAATTATTCCAATGCTATGGATTTAATTAATGCATCTTCTCTGATGATGCCAGTTTCTCCATCCTGGGTTTTTTTTTGTTTTGTTTTGTTTTGTTTTTTAAATCTCACCAAAACTTTAGTTTTTATCTTCCTCTTTTACTTAACTATCTTAGTGTTTTATTAAGATACCCAAATATCTAGTGAAATATTACCTATTTTCTAAGTCCTATCCCCAAAGAACCTCAAACACATCTTTCTCTGTCTCACAGTTCTTGCCTCCAGCCTCCGGTCCTTCCAACCCCATCTGCTGCATTAATCTGCCCTAAATATTACTTAAAATCTGGCTCTGTCATCTCTCCATTGCCCCTTCTATCCAGGCTTGAACTTAAAGAACCTGTTGGAACACTACCTTTTCCATGAAACCATCCCTAATCTCCTCAACCATTCAGTGGGCAATTTTATAAAAAAATCAGAAAGGGAATTACATTTACTCAGTTCCTACTTATGTTCTAGGCACTTTGTATATGATCTTATTTAACTAACTTCACAATTTTTATGAGGTAGGTGTTGTTATTCCCATTTTTGCAAATGGGAAAACAAAGGCTCATAGAAGTCTGAGCCTAAGATCTTGCCTAAAACACCAAAGCTAAAAAATAAAGTCCTCACTGTAATTTATCTGTGAAATAATTTTGAGAAGCAATGTTTCCTTTATATACTCAGAATATGAAACGAGAGGAACAAAATGAAAAACCTCTTCTATTAAGGTATTGGAACAGATTTATTTTTCAAGCCAAAGCAAGTTTTTTGTTTGTTTTAGACACAAGAAATAAACATGTGGCTCATGGCTGAAGAGGTGTGTGTAGGTTGGATGGGGGTGTGTGTGGGAGAAGAGACATTTGTCAAAGTGATCAGTTTTACTTTCTACTGTGGTTTTCACCATGATCTGTGGGTTCACACTGAAAGACCATGACTTCCCAGAAAGTCAGAACAGTTTTCACTGTCTGTGAGATGACTGCCCCCTGGCCTCCCTGAAATCCACAGGTCAGGAAGATGCTTTTCTGGAGTTACCTGAGGGGGCCTGAAGGGTTTTCCTCTCCTACGACATCTTCTTTTGTGAGCTGTCCACTCAGTTATGCCGCTCACGGCACAAGAGGCTCTCATTAAAACACAGACCCCTGACCTGGAAGGCAGAACACTTTAAACTACTCAGGCCCTGGCAAAGTTAGCTTCTCAGCGGCTGATGCAGCCACCACGTTGTGGGAATGGGGTGTTCTTCCGATGCCATGAGGAAGGAGCTCGAATATGGGGGGGGGGGGGCAGAGAATCTGTGCAATGGCACCTCGAGGAGGGAGAGGGGGCGACGGGCCAGAGTGGTCATGCTCCCCTGCTAGTTTTATCTGCAGTAAGGGATAAGGAGCGCGGTGGAGAGAAGTCATTACATATGATTAACATTTAGTCTAATTCTATTGTTGATCAGAAGTGCCTGCAAGAGTAACAGGCATCTGGGTAAAAATTCATAAAGCAACTAGGTTTTCACCTTCCCCTGGTTTCTATATGCAACTTGATTCATAGGGGAAAAAAATCATACAGTAACAGGGACTATGACGTATTGAGAGGAAACAGACCTCCTGACTGGCAAAATTCACGCTCTAAGAACACCAATGAGATGCATGCCCAAGAAAGCAAGCTGCAGAATTCGATGGGGAAAATGTGGATATGACGATTCTTTGGATTTTACCCAACTTCCAAGTAACAAGGCTCAGACCCCCAGCCCTGGCTACCCAGAATATAATATCCTTTGCCTGGAGTAGATAATCCACTCCAGCGGAAGCTCTGACTGTGGAAGGATAAGGAGTAATTAAGAGATGTGACTACAGAATAATCAGAATTTCAAAGGGTGAGGATAGCGAGTAAAAACTCACATTCAAACCTACTGGCCCAAGTGAACCTGGCTGATAAAACCTTTTGCTTAGACTCCACCACAGTTGCTTTTGTTTGCACCAAAGCTCTAGTCATTTCTCCCCCATTTCCATTTTCTTCTCTTCTTTCACCTGCTGTAATATGAAACTAAGTATATTTTAGTTTGTGCTTAGTAAAACAAAGCTTGATTTTCTCCTCTGCCCCCCATCACTTAGTCCCTCCTAAATTCTACCTTTTTGGTAGTTTACTATAGTTATAAAAGAAATGCATATTTGTTATAATTAGAAGACAGAAAAGTCAGTGGAAATATTAAAATCACCTCAAGTTCTGGATATGAATGTTAAACCACTGGATAAGAATGTTAAACAGATTGGTATGTATCTTTATAGACTCTGCCCATGTGTACACGTGTGTGCGTACATGGCACGCACATGTACACACACTCTCTCATCTACTAGAGAACTTACGGCTTTTGAACATTCCCCAGTTTCAAGTCAAGACTCTGGAGAACGGAGTCCATTCCCCTCACCACCAACAGATGGCGATAAGGTTGATGAGTTATTTTAATACTGGTGATTCCAGTTGTAAATTCACTTAAGGCACCAAGCAGTCATTGGTAGTGTTTGTGTTCATTTATTTTATGAACATTATGAAACCGAAGAAAAGCAGCTGAGCTTGTGGAAAACAACAGTAAGAAAAAGTGTACACTTACAATGTAAACAAAAACAGGTATTTTAAGTTTGAAAAAGGTATTGCTCAAGCATATAGGATGTTTGCTTTTGTTTAACAGCTGAACTGCCTCTGAGGAGCAAAGAGAAGCTTACGTATCCTATGAGAAATGCTATTCCCGTGTAAGTGACAATAATGAGCAAGGAGGCGGCACAGGGGACTGAACTGAGGGGAAAAAACCCTTACAACTTCTGACTGTGTGGCTATTGAGTCAACATCCACATTAGAAAGCTCATGCCCTGGTGAGTTAATTCAGGGGAATAACAAGGTAACAGCCTACATTTTTTATACCTATTTTATGCCAGGCACTGACTTAGGCCAATTATTTTAATCTTCACAACAACCTTGGAGTAGGTGAGGTTTTCTTCTCTGTGTAGATGTGAAACTGAGGAGCAGAGTGAGCAGGGGACCCACTGAAGGTTACCCAGCTGGTAAGCAGCAAAGAAGGGAGGCAGAAGTTTGCCCTGGCCAGCCATGTTTGACGCCTGGAAAAACTCTGGCCGCCGACCACAGAATGCTGCAGAGGTTGGGAGCAATTCCCAACTGTGAAAGTGCACAGCCCCAAACAAGTGATGAGGATGAGGGCAGGCTCTGTAACAACTAAAGCCTCTAAGACAGAGCTGATAGCACTCAAAGTTGCTACCTGACTTTCCGAGTAGACAACATTGTTCCATTTGGAGTAAGAGCCCCAAAGAACAAATGTATTGGGGAGGAGGAGGTATGTCTGGCTTTAAAGCTTAGGAGGAGTCACTCATGTTAACTCATGTAACTATTTGTTGGGAATGAGGGTGGGAATTAGGCGCCAGATCCCATTCACTACTGCAGACTCGTGGGAGAAGAGGGAAAAACCTTCGCATACTTACACTTCCACACAGACGATACTGTAGAGGCAGTGTTCCTACTTGCTTTTTTGCTGCTTTATCTTTTCAATGGCCTCCTAGAAAAAGGGGTTCTCCTAAAATTTGCTCTAGCTCTTCTAACAGTAGCTCAACAGGGGAAGGAAAAGAAAGTGTAAGTTACATTCATTTTGCTAATAGAAAAGTTTGTTGGACAATGAGGTCTAAAATTTGAAAGCAGAGGAGTCATTTATTTATGTTTGAATCTTCACTACCTGAAAAATTCAGCTGGTCCTGTTTTCTTTATTTACTTGGTACATGAAGTGGTGAGCACTTGAAGATGAGGTCCAAGACACGTGAAATTTTAAAATTATGCAATCAGTATCAGACAGATTTTTTTAAGACTTTATCATTTTGGCCTTGAAGATTTTCAGTGTTTCTATGAGACTTCTAAGCATACAAATATTAAAGGTATCGAAAGATATTCTATTTTAAAGTCTAGTCATTTTGGCTTAACTCTTACATTTGATAACTGCCCCTTCCATTTCGGTTGTACAGCTGGGTGTGCTTTGTGATTCCTGGTACGTGGGACAGAACAGGAAGCTACATCTGATGCGGCTAGCATCGGAGCCAGGGTCTGAAGGAGGAAAACATTTGGCAGGAGAAGCTGCTGAAGCCCAAAAGGTCAAAATCAAAACTGGAGCTGAAGGTGAACGGAACACAGGAAGGACAAGTACAGCTGAGAAGGAGGTCAGACCAAGAAATCAAGCCGCAGATATTTACAGCTTGTCTATAGCACGCCCTTTGCCACCTATGAAAAATACACAAGGTGCCATTCCTGCTAGCAAAGGGGACAGTGGGGGGGAGGCGCGGGAGGGATGTAAGAAATTTTTAATATTAAAAAATAACTAAGAATACTGAGATCCTCAATGATGAATGCCAAATAAAGGAGGGCATAAATATAGGATGAATCAAGTTTAGCAAGAAAAACTTTGGGGAAAACAGAAATTCAGGTAAGCCATAGAGGACAATAAACAGAAGAGTGTGTGTAACACAAGCTGTGTGGGGACTGACGGAAGCCAAGTCTGGAAAGGTCCTGTATGTAGGGCCTTGGGTTCTAGGAAAAGGGGTCAGGGAACAGAATATGGCTGGAGGTTTTGCAACTGTAGAATGATATGATGAAAGCAAGATTTTAGTAAGATTAATGAAAATCTTATGGCTAGGATTAGCAGAGAGAGATGCCACATTTTTGGTTTATTTTACTCCTTTTTTTGTTTTTTTCTTTTTGGCTCTTTGTACTTAAGCAATAACACTCAAATTCAAGAAGTTAAAATGGAGGGATGAGGAGAGCTAGGTGATACATGGAAAGGTTCTAAAGGACAAGAAAGTTTTAAGATAGAAGAATTCTTTTAACTAGACTCAGATGCTTTAAGTTAGCACCTGAGAAAAATAACCCATGTTATCTGTGCTATGGAAAGCCAATGGCTTGTGTCTGAATGCAGAGGAGAAAAGGAGTCAACCATGGTTCACTTTTCTCAACTATCCTGGAAAGGACAGTGAATTTCAGCCCCAGTCCCAGACCTGGAACTTGCAGATTAGAGATGATTTAGCAGAAGTGCACACCATCCTCAAGTGGTCCAACCCTTGGCTAGCCTGGCTGCTTTGCAACATGTGAGCTGTTGGAGAATAAACTACAGGAGCTTTGGGACAAAGCATCACAGTTTTGAAGAGAAAAAATATATATCTACATATCTAGTTTTTCATAACATTAAGATTTTAAGATAAATACATCTCTTCAGAATATAAATAAAATTGGTAAACTGCACCTAGATTTGGGATTAATATAACCTCTTTTGACTAAATGCAGAACCATTCCTGCTACTCTGCCTTTTCAAATTCCTTCTGGCACAGCTAATCTATTATAAATGCTACACAAAACTAACAATTGATGCTGTTTATTGCTTGTATGGTTTGAAGTAAATAATTCATATAGAATGAACATTAAAATACCTCCTTAGAAATGGTTAAGATGCATTTTATGAAAACCTTATACCTCTCTTCTAAATAAAAACCTCTTTTCTAAATAAAAAATACACTATAAAACATTTGATTCATTACAGATTTGCTGTTATAGCTCAGTATCCAGTCTATTATGATCTGCAATCAAAGTAACGTAGCTTTACACGATTTTATGGTTTTTTAAGAGCACACAGCAAAGGGTCACTGACACATCTTATGATAATATTTTTGCCACAAGTCACCATACCAGAGCACTTACGGATGCAGTCACAGATGGCCAGACCCAAACTGGTGCTCCCAAGTACTAATGTGTCAGAGGAAAAGAATACTTGCTGAAAATTTTGCAAGTAAAATATCTATCATAAAAACGAATCCCTTAAAGTCTCAAAACATTGATTACTGTGTGACTTTTAAAACAAAGGCAATTTGATTATAGAAAGCAGTCTTTTATTTCTGTTGAATTTATGAACTGGCAGTGATAGGGCACTTAAAAATTTTCTTCCTCTCCCACCAAAACCTGTAATGTATTTGCTTTGCTTTGACAATCTCACCTTCAAGTTGATGTGGTTACTTTGCTGTATCAGAAGGAACACAACATTATATTGGAAAGCACATGGAGAAGCCCAGAGAGAGACCTCTCCTCAAGTGCTCATTCAGCCAATGACCAGCTCTGCGACTCTGGTGTGGCTGTCTGGCCTCAGTGTCCCTGTCTCTGTAACACCTATGGCGTGACAGCATCGACCTAACAGCACTGTTGTTAAAGGGCTAGCACATAACAGATATCCAGTAACAAATAAATGTTATTAACCTTTTCTCCCACCCTGCTGGAATTATCTGAAATAATGGCACTTCTAACGCTTACCGTTTAAGAGCACTAAGCTAGATTACCCCTCTCATCTTCATAATGACGTTGTCTGAAGCTGCAAAATGTTGAGAAAATGCAGACCTTTCATTTTTATGTTTACTTTTCAGTACTGTTCTTTGCATAATGAAACCTCTCAATATATATTGGTTGAATGAATGAAACATAAGCATGTAATATAAATTCTTTCCCCTTAAAGTGTTTTGTGTGGGGAACTGAGGGAGGTTGGCAGTTGGAAGGAGAAGGGAGATACTATATCTTACCTTGGAAAATGAACATGGCCTTGTAGTTTATCCAATTTAAATTATAAAAACAAATAAAGGAACCGAGGTAATTAAGGAGTTTAACAGGGAATTAAAAAGTGCTACCAAAAAGAAAACTGTAAAAGGTTGTTGGGGGAAACAAATACAAAAAAAACAAGAAGAGTTTTGGTTCCTAGATTGCTTTGGAAGTGTCTCTAAATTTGCTGCTCCTTTTAAAAAGAAATCAAAACTAGAAATCTTTTACACACACACACCACCAGAGAACTGCGTCAGAGTCGGTAGAAATTGAATGCATTAAACTCTAACATTGAAAACCATAAATGCCTGCTTCATTCGAAACAAGAACAGCGTGACAGAGAGTAAAAGTAAACATGCTCTCTGAAGCCAAACAGAGTTATCTGAAACTATTAAGACAGAGTGTGCAAATTACCTAGAAATTTCTCTTGATTCAGACATGAGCTAAAAAAGGCAGGAGTCAAACTGGACATTTCCTAGACTGAACACTAATGTTGGCGTTGATCCAGAACACAGCACCAGTGTATTGATTTCCAAACCCCGTCAGGCTGTCCTTTTCTACAGTAATAAATCCTGACTGCCCCACGACCTTGAAAAGCCCGTCTGAAAGGGAAAATGATATCTATTTTACTCACTTCAGCTCTAAGAAATCTGGGGACATAATGTAAGTGTATCATTAGTGAAAAAACTCTTGGGCTGGGTAAGCAAGGAAATGCTGATGTAGCCTGCCAGCACCGTTGATGTTTCTAAACTTAGATATTTCGTTCAAGGGTCACTCGTGACAATGGTCATGTCTCTTAAGAGCGGATCTGATGGAAAATGATAAATAGGGCTCCCACACTGGTTTCCTACCGGTTTGTTTGCCTTCGAACAAGAATGTCCTTAGACACTGCAGATAAAGATCAGCAATCATTCCACAGAGTAGCACAGCTCAAAAAATTCATCATCTTAAAACTTATGAAAATCAGAGAGGAAGCATCTTTATGTGAAAGAATGGAACCAAAGAGAACCAAATGCTTGAGTTAACTTTAGTATCAGTTTCACAAAATTACCATATTTCAAATGAAGGCAGTACACCTCCCTTGTCTCAAGACAGCTTGGATTCACTGCATTTTCCAGAAGGTGCAAGTTAGGGGGCTGTGAATGGAGACTGGGGCTTAAAGTGCTTCTTACATTCATGACATACTCAGTAAGGACTTTCTAATCTTGTTTGTTCTGAGAAATCCTGCATAATGGGAGAGGTGCTGGTCGAATCCTTAAAAGAATAAAAAACTAGTTCCTAGAAAACAAAGGCAGGTAAGGCTAATGCTGATCTGAAGCGAAATTTCAGAACAGATGGTAAAGTAGAAGGTTAGAGAGACTGTTGAAAAGAACATGCCCCAGTGATGCCCTTCAGAGCCAGTTAGGCACACGAAATGTTGGCTCTTTCTACTCTGGAGGGTGGTGAGGAAGGCAGGGCTGCTCGGGAATGCTACGTGGTGTATTTTGATTTGAGCAAAACAAAAATCATTGCTTGCTCGTGGATCAGATGAGGGTATCTGGGAAGAGGAAGTCTGGTTTGGATAAACGGATAACTAGCTAAAGAAGTGACAGAGCTAGTCGGATGGTCAGGGTCACAGTCAGCATGGAGGAAGTGTCCAGTGATGTGCCACAAGGCTCTGTTCTTGGCCAGCACTTTTCAAGCACCTAAAAATGCCATAAATCAGGTCACTGATAGCGTACTTATTAAATATACACATATCCCAAAGCTGGGGAGGATGATGAATGTTAAGATGTCAGAATTAATACCTGGAAAGTATTTCAACAGGCTAGAATGAATTCTTGGCCAAAGCCAACACTATAATATTTAATAGGGAAAAATAAGTCTTACATATAAGTTCCAAGGGGGGGAAATCAACTGTATAAATTTAGCGAAAGCCTTGGCTTATTCACATGAAAATACCTGGGGTCTTGATTAGGAACAAATTCAAGTCTTCCAAATGAAACAGATTTAGACTGCACTGAGAAATACATGATCCGATCATGGAAAGAAATTATGTCTTTGAGCTGCTTTGTTCACCATTCCCTGAAACCCACCACTATGGGTTGAACTGTGTCCCCCTAAAACTATGTCCACAATCCTCAGCTCCAGTACCTCTGAATGTGATCTGATTTGGAACTAGGGTCTTTGCAGACATAATCAAATTAAGATAAGGCCCGCATCCAATGTGACAGGTGTCCTTATAAGAGGAAAATTTGGACACAGATAAGAGACCTGGGGAGAACACCACGTGATGACTGCGATGGAGATGGGGGATGCAGCCGTAAGCCAGGACACCAAGCAGCTGGCAAACCACCACGAGCTGGAAGAGGCAGCAAAGGATTCTCCCCTACAGCTTTCAGGAGGAACATGGTTCTGTGGACACCTTAATTTTGGATTTCCAGCCCCCACAACTGTGAAATACTAGCTTTGTTACTTTAAGCTACCCAGTTTGTGGTACTCTGTCCCAGCAACCCTAGGAAACTCACTGAGCCCAGGTGGCCTTCTATCCTATACAAGTCCCTGCGCCTGCCCTGCTCCATCTTAATTTCCTGACCTTCAAGATGTCACTTCACAGGGAAATTCAGTGTCATTCTGCAAGACTCAGTTTAATGGTCCTCTCCAGCAGCAGCAAGCCTTTTCTGACCTTCCCTGACCAAGCTACGTGCCGCCTCTGCACCTGCCCAGGGCTGTGTGTCCTCACTGCCTCTCGGTGCAGCCCTCACCTGCTGCCGCATCACCTCCCCATCTGCGTCCCCATTAAATGTGCGCCCCTGGACTGCTTTCC